GGGGAAGAAAGGGGGGGGTCATTAATGGAAGTGTTTTAGGAAGCCTTGAGGTTCTCCTCGCCGTCCTGGGGGGTGACCAGGGTGAAGAGGCAGAAGGTGATCTCCTCGCAGGGGCTGGTGGTGCCACACTCGAACAAGCACCCAAAAAAGCCATCGGGGCAGACGGCCAGGTCGGAATAACCCGCCGGCCCCGGGTGCAGCACCCAAGGGTGCCGCCAACCCTCCCCATCCAACGGCGCGGGGTTGAGGTAGACGCCCAAATCTCGTCGCTGCTGCCGGTCGGTGGGATGGGAGTAGAGCAACCACCTCGGTGTCTCCTCCCCGGGGGTGATGGAGAAGCTCACCACGCTACCCTGGCACCCGTGGGGGGGTTCACCCAACGCCTGGCACTGGGCCGACTGTTGGAAGCGTGACCCCCGGTCGGCGCTGAACGTCACCACCCGGCACCCTCCAAGGGCTCGGGCGTTGCAGTAGAGCAACGGGGCATCCTTCCCGGTGATTTCGGCCACCTGGCACTCGATCGTGGGTTGGCCGGCCACCAGGTCACCCTTGTGCCAGCTATGGCCACCATCATCGCTGTAGAAGACCAGGGCGTGCGAGTGGGTGAAGCAGGGCAACCGCACCACCCCACACAAGCAACCATGGATGTAGTAGGTGTAAGCTGGTACCACCAGGCGGCCAGAAGCCAGTTGGACCCCGTGGCCCGGCCCCACGGCGAAGGTAGCCCACCGGGAGAGGTCATCTCCCACGGCTTCCTCTGTCACGTCCCGTAGAGGACTCCAGTGCTGGCCACCATCCGAGCTGGTGGCCAAGCAGAGGCGGGCGGCGCTGCAACCCGTCCAGATCTGACACCGCTCCGACCTGCCCCGCTCCACGCAGATGCAGAAGAGGATGACGGTGCCGGTGGTGGCATCATAGAGGGGACAGGGGTTCATGGTGCGGCGGCCGGGCAGCACCAGGGTCGACAGCTCCTCCACCGGACCCCACTGCCAAGGAGGAAAACGGGGGTCAACCCGCGGAGACATAGAATGACAGGATGGTATGGAGTTGGAAGGGACCTCTGGAGATCATCCAGTCCAACCCCCTGCCAGAGCAGGGCCACCCAGAGCAGGTCCCACAGGAACGTGTCCAGGGGGGGTTGGAATGTCTCCAGAGAAGAAGACTCCACCACCTCTCTGGGCAGCCTCTGCCAGGGCTCTGCCACCCTCACAGGAAAGAAGTTCCTCCTCATGTTGAGATGGAACTTCTTATGTTCCAGTTTGTGCCCATTTCCTCTTGTCCTGTCCCTGGGCACCACTGAAAACAGACTGGCCCCATCCTCCTGACACCCACCCTTGAAGGATTTAGAGGTGTTGATCAGATCCCCCCTCAGTCTTCTCTTCTCCACACTAAAAAGACCCAAGACCCTCAGCCTTCCATCGTAAGAGAGATGTTCTAATCCCCTCATCATCTTTGTGGTCCTCTGCTGTCCCCTCTCCAGCAGTTCCCTGTCCTTCTGGAACTGGGGAGCCCACAACTGGTCCCAGTGCTCCAGCTGTGTGCTCCCCAGGGCAGAGCAGAGGGGCAGGATGACCTCCCTCCACCTGCTGCTCACACTCTTCCTGATGCCCCCCCCAGGTCATGGATGAATATATTGAAGAGGACAAGACCCAGTACCAAGCCCTGAGGAACAGAGCTGCTCTCCAGCAGGTCCCCCCCAACCTCTCCTGGTCCATGGGGTTATTCCTCCCCATGTGCAGCACCCTGCACTTGCCTTTGTTGAATTTCATCAGGTTCCTCTCTGCCCAACTCTCCAGCCTGTCCAGGTCTCACTGGATGGGGGCACAGCCCTCCATCATGTCAACCACCCCTTCCAATTGCGTATCAATCATCACCAAACTTGCTGAGGGAACATTCCATCCCTTCACCCAGGCCATGGATGAATATATTGAAGAGGACGGGACCCAGTACCAACCCCTGAGGAACACCACTTGTGATGGACCTCCAACTAGACTTCTGTGCCCCTAATCACAACCCTCTGAGCTCTGCCTTTCAACGCCCCGGTGTCTCCACACCCCGGCATCGCTCCCAGGGGATGGAGGTGGCAGCTCCTTCCTCCAGCCCAGGTTGGGGGTGGTTTGGTTTGGGTTTTTTTGGGTTTTTTTCTTTCTTTACCTGGACGGAGGAGCCCTGTTGGTGGCCCCGACGCAGCACCAGGTACTTGGCGTCCTCATCCCTGGTTGAGGAGCGTTTCTCGGCGAAGGCCAAGAAGGTGGAGGTTGGGGGGACGTAGAGCAAAGCCGGGATGCGGTAGGTGACCCCGTTCTCCTGCCGGAACAGCGTCTCCCGTGGGAAGAAGTGGGGGGATCGCGGGGGTGGAGGCAGGGGGGGGTTCTCCTCATCCTCCCCCCGCTGCTGGCAGGGAAGGGAAAGGGTTAAACGTTGGCAAAAAGAAGTTTTTTGGCGGGGAGGGGATGTCCCTCACGTCCCTCGTCCCTCGAGATGTGGGGAGAAGGACCAGGACTCACCTTGAGGCAGGTGATGGCCTGGGACATGGTGGCCTCCCTGAGGTCCCACTGGGGGGGGTGGAAGGAGGTGAGGGGGGGGAAGGTGAGCACAGCCCCCCCCTCCACACTGTCACACTGTCCCCATCCCTTTCCCTGTTGTCCCCATCCCCTTCCCTGTTGTCCCCCATCCCCTTCCCTATTGTCCCCATCCCTTTCCCTGTTGTTCCCCATCCCTTTCCCTGTTGTCCCCATCCCTTTCCCTGTTGTCCCCATCCCTTTCCCTATCGATGTCCCCATCCCCTTCCCTGTTGTCCCCATCCCTTTCCCTTTCAATGTCCCCATCCCTTTCCACATTACTGTCCCCATCCCCTTCCCTGTTGTCCCCATCCCCTTCCCTGTTGTCCCCCATCCCCTTCCCTATTGTCCCCATCCCTTTCCCTGTTGTCCCCCATCCCTTTCCCTGTTCTCCCCCTC